AGGAGGCTGAGGGGCGACCTCACTGCTCTCCACAGCTTCCTGAGGAGGGGAAGAGGAGAGGGAGGTGCTGATCTCTTCTCCCTGGTACCCAGTGCCAGGGCGCGTGGGAATGGCTCAAAGCTGCGTCCGTCAGGGGAGGGTTCAGACTTGACGTGAGGAAGCATTTCTTTACTGAGAGGGTAGTCAAACCCTGGAGGAGGCTTCCTGGAGAGGCGGTCGATGCCCCAAGCCTGACAGTGTTTCAGAGGCATTTGGACAACGCCCTTAATACCATGCTTGAACTTTTGGTCAGCCCTGAAGTGGTCAGGCAGTTGGACTGGATGATCAGTGTAGGTCCCTTCCGGCTGAACTGTGCTATACTGTTTCGTCTGTTCTAGCCAACTTCAGTTACGTAATCTTTCTGTTTGTTGCATTCGTACTGCAGAGCTTAGTGCCACTGAAATGGCTGTAAATTGACAAGAAGTCTGAATGCAGGAGTGAAAACTGTAGAACTGTTAAGGGCAGAGTGAAGAGATACGCTCATACTGCTCCTAAACAGTAGTAAAGTGGTGATGAACGTTTGGAAACCGTTTTCTTTCTGTATAGTGAGGGCCAGAAGCGATCTTCTTTAAATCACTGGCATTAGGTTAGGGAGTAGGAATGAAAGAAGGAGAGTAGGCTATTGGCATGAACAGATCATTGGTGGGTTTTTTTTTTCAAACCCTGTGAATATTTTCGGTGTGAAATTTTTCAGTAGGACGTAGAGCTTTCATGGTGAATGGTTATTTGGTACTAGCTGAGGTGTTTGACTTTTGAGTTGTATTTTCAGGTGAGAACATTGGGTCCACTTGGTCAGACCTGTAACTATGACTGATTTTGGAATAATCTTGTGTTTTGTATGATATTGGAGTTAATTCATTAGTATCCAAATTTTTCAAAACATACCCATATACTTAGGCTATAAAGTGAGTGTAATTCTCGGAAAAACTGTCTTTTTTGTTAATAACTTTTCAGTGGTCTGATACTATGTCAGTCATGTTTTAGAACATCCAACTCTGTCTTGTGAGACAGGCATTTTGCAAGGCAGAATATATGTATGCAACCTCAGTGACGGTGCTGCAACGAAGTGCTAAAGGATTTGTGGTAGGTTTTTGGGGTTTTTTTTGGCAACACTGTTCATTCTGGTTATATTGCAGAATATATCTAATGTGAGATCTTGCTAATTAGTTTCTTTGTACATAAAAGCTTGTTGATATTTTAATGTTCATTACACTTATACTGAAATTTTATATTTGAATTTTGAAGTATGAGGCTGGCAAGCTACATTTGGGTTGGCGTGGCTTGTTGCAACCTCACTCAGCATGAAGTTGTGAAATTTCTTTGAATATTTGTTCAGTGCTGACAGGAACAACAAGTTCATATTGACATCATAAAATGTGTCATTTCCTTCTGCCCTTTTTCTTTGTTTAGATTCAATTTTATAAGTGTTTTTTTTGGTCAGGTTTTTTTTTGTTGTTAATTTCTTAAAGGAATTAGATGGTATTCCATATGTAAATGCTTGAATCCCTGTCAGTTTGCAAAATTTTTAAACCTTAAGCAACTGTACTATGTTGCTAAAGTATTAGCAGGCTTGAGTTTCAAATCTGGTCTAAGAGGACCATGGTCAGAAATAATCAAAATAACTATTTTTGTTGCATGCTCTCGTGGCTCATTCATGACATATTCTGCTCTGGAGACTTTGTAGTAAGGTAGAACTTGTCACAGACAGTATGTGAAACTGGTCGTTTTCTTTAAAAGGAAGATCTAGACCAGTCTTTACTTAGATGTTATAGTTAGTAATTGTTGAAGTAAATTATGATATGGAATAATTAGTTCTGGACTTAATATTATTACTTGTTGATATACGCAATCTCTGTGTAGGTCCCTTCCAAATCCCCTCCACCAACTGGCAACAGAAGCAGGACATCTTCGATTACAGATCAGAATGATGAAGGCACTTTAACACCAGGCAAAGAGGTCAGTTGAGAACTGTTTTTCTGGATTTTTCAACTTTAACTTTAAAAAAAAATAAATCTAACTTTGTGTTCTTGATTAACTGTTGTTTTATTCCACAATCTCACTATTTTCTGTGCATTTATAGATATGAATAGTCTAATTGTTAGGTTAAATACTAAAGTGTTTAATATTAGTAAAACAGACCTTTAAGCTGTAGTGGTTAACCCCCAGATTAGGGAACCTTTGAAGTCTTCCTTCAGGTCTTAAAAATCTTACCCCTGAACTGAACTCAGGTAGTGGGACAGAAGTTATATTCAGAGAGATTAACTTTGGTTTTTACACCTCTTTTGGTTGAAAAGTTGGGGGAATCCAGTTAACTGCACAGGTAACTTGAGATGGATGAGCCTAAAGGCTTGAACTGAACCCCTGTGAATGTTTCTAACCATACCAGTAATAATTATCAAATTTACACCACCACCACCCCCCCCCCAAAAAAAAAAAAAACAATAAAAAAAAACAAATAACAAACCAAACTGAGTCTAAATTATGAATCATATCATTAAAATCACTATCAGGATGATGGGTAACCACAACTTGCATAATAGAGCAAACAGGATAATCCACACTCATCTTTCCTCATATTGAGTACTACGGCTTTTTTGAAGTGGCTTGATTAAAAAAGAAAAAACAAACAAACAAAGCCCTGGCTTAGTGAGCATGAAAATAGGCCGGTGGAGTAAAGCAGGGAACTTCCGTGCTTCTGTGAACTTTTTCAGAGGAAATGTTCAGTTCCTAGCCAGAAAATTCATTCCTGGGTTTTGCTACAAAAAACCATGTGTTTTCTTGCAGTGGGACAATCCACTTTAATTTTTAACACGACGTTTTTTTCAGGAGATGATCAACTATACCTGAAATGTGTCTTAGATTCCATTATGAACACTACCAGTGATTACAGCTTGGCAGGTTGCTTCCTGCAATGATAATAGAAATGAAAGGAAGAATACCTCATGATTTTGTTTTGTGTTTTGGAAATGCAGTACTGAGTTTTCTAATAAATGCTTATTTTCTCTACTGTTTTATATGTGTGTGTGTATGTAATGACTTCCCTCTGTCCCTGGAGAGAGGTTTTCTGTTAACCGATGCTTCAAAATGTCAGCAAGCAGTGTCACCCAGGATAAATTGTTTCACTAAGGAGACTGCTGTTTTTTTGTTGTGTGTGTTTTTTTTTTCAGGAAAAACAACCTTCATTTCTATTCTTAATGCAGAGTATAGAAGTGGCATGTTGCCACATAAGAACTACCACTGTGGCCTAGAAGGAATGAGTTGGTGTCATCAGTGATCACTGCAAACATAAAAATTCCCTCTTTTTTTATTTTATTATGTGTATCCATTGTAGAATGTGCTAGAGGTTAAAGGACTGATTTAGCCAAGGTTTTCAGACTTTTTAAGCAGCAAAAGCTTAGTGGAATATGAAATATTGAAGCCATGAGGCACAGTGATGTTCCTCTGTGCGACTGATTCACTGTTTTTTGTCTGTCATTAACTTGGTGCTGCCTACACAAAAGGAAGAAATCTTCCTCTCCCTTTTCAGCGGGAAATAAAGGGAAAGATTAAGTGGTAACACTCCTCGTCCCTTTTATTATACAAGTACCAACTGATTTTCTGCTCAAATAGTGTAACTCACACATTGAGTGAAAGGCAGAATACTTTTCCTTAACTTGTATTTATTTTTGAGGATGTCTGCTTTTATTCCAGATCTGAAAAAGGTTTGTGAGCCTGAAGACTTATCTTCTTTTTCAGTTTTATCAATTGATTTAGTAAAAAATACTAGCTCTCTTCACAATTTGGATAACATTTAAAAAATAAATACATTTCCAAATGTTGTTGGGTGCTACCGATATGTCACCTGTATGTATCAATGCTTTCTGTAGTGTTCATAATTTCTGTGGAGAACTACATTTTGTCCTGTACTGCTTCATTAGATATATGTTGCCCCCCAGCAGACTGTTTTTTCAAACTGCTTTTCCAGACAAACAGGAGAAGCAAAGAATTCCCCACCAGACATGCCAAGTTATGTTGGAAGAACATTATGCTCTAAATACAGTGGTTACACTGGAATGATCAGAGAGGCAGAAGGAGAAATAAGATTAAGAATGGAAACAGTACTAAAGTGACCTCAGATTTACAGCTATACTTGGGCTTAGGGAGCTGCTATGAGAATTTTACTTGTGAAACATATCCTGTAATTATAAATTCAGAAAGTAGTGAAGCTGCTAAGGGAATGAAAATATCTTCTTTTTTTGTAAGGACTAGTTTTAGGTCAAATGGAAAATTTTACTAAAATAAAGATAAATTTAAATGATCAAGGCATGAAATGTCCTTTCTTCAAATATTTCTCATAAATGTTAACAGAATGATTAAAAGCAAATCGTCTTTGAAATTTGTTTGTTGGATTAGATTTTCATAAAATTCAGGTCAGTGGCAGTATTACTATGCTTAAAAAAGATGCAGATATTACATACTATCTCTGAAAATATATGCCCTGGTTATATGGGTGTGTTAGTCTTTTGGGCGGCATTTTTTGCAGTGTTCTCATTTGATCAGGCAGATGTTTTATGTACAGGTGTCAATGGCAATGGCATTACAATGAACTAAAGTTGGACAACATTTAATACACTGAAAATGTTTGGTGTTTGAAGAGTATCATGTGCTAAAACGTTCTTGCAGTACATGCATAATTGCTAACCCTTTTGGTACTGAAAGCTAAGCAAAATTACAATGTTTCATAGTTCCTTATATGTTCTCTGTCCTCCCACTGGGCTATTATGTTTTAGTATATCTTTAATAGATCATGTTTTTTGGATTTTTAGTGCTGTAATATCAAAGTTGCAAGTATTGCACGTGAAAGCTTTGAATTAAACTCAGAATATTTTTAGAATAAAAACAATTTCAGAGTGAATTACAGTTGTAAATGACAGCATTAGTCTGATCAAAGAATTAAAACATAAAGGCAAACATTCTTGCTTTATATTCTGCAGTGATAAGATTTTTTTAATTTTTCAAAATTCCAAAACATTCTCAGTTTAAAAAAAAAAACCAACAAGTTGTATGCTCCATTCATGGAATACTAGGTAAGTTTCTTTTTTGTGCCCACTTTCTTCTTCAGCTTCTATTTTAGTGGAGCTGTGGATCTCCAGAGGCAGTGTTACAGAAAAGCTCATAATTTTTTTGTGTATAAGGCAAAAGAAGTCTGTCTAATTCTGTATTCTGTTCTTGCAAGTAGCCCATAAAATATGACTACAGTGTGAGGTAAAAGCATATACTGGTACTTCACAGAACTTCTTCAGAAAATTTGCATATTGGATGCTTTCTGAGTTGGTCTTGGTGCCATTTGAAACAGCCCTGGATGATTAAAAAACGCTGACTTAGTGCTTCCAGTCTTTTCTAGGGAAGAATAGTGTTTGGTTTTCAAACTGTTACCGTGTTGACTCTTGAACAGAATTTGAGGTGAAATACACCAATCATACTCAGCATAGTTCCTAGAAGTTCAAAATTTTCCTTCAGTTCTATAATATACTTATTTAAAAGGCAGGCCCACCTGCAGAAGGTAACAAAGCTAGTTCGGAGCCATCAGCTGAGAGCAAACAGCTGATAGCTTGCTGTGGGTGACCTACCAGTCATGCGTATCCAAGTATCACTCACATCCTTGTGAGTGTTATGGAAGTGACAGCAGAGCACAATATATATAGCTTTTCTTAGAGCTAAAGATAAACTAGCCAAGGTACTTTTCAGTCTTGCTTTAGTGCTATATAATGACTGTCTTTTTAAATTAATTGAAACGTTTTTCTAGTGTTGGCTATTAATAAAGCAGGACAAGTAAAACTGAAATAATACTCCTTCAATACCTTTGTTAATGCTGCATCTTTCCTGTATTCATATACTTAATTTGAAATACTTCTAAAGAGACGTTGTCATGCAAAGATGGTAGTGGTTCAGAGATGTCTATATTTTTTTCCTTTCTGACATGCAAATTGAAAACTAATTTTTGGAGGCTGTATAACCTAGTTTTAACCTAAAGCCTGGATTTTACAACTCCTGATGCATGCACCAGCATGTTTAGATTGCTCATCAGAATGAAAAAACAAACCAGAAAAGAGTCGTGTTTGATTTCTGTACTACCTCTTTCTCAAAATGCAGTTCTGCACTTTTAGATTCTGGGGCTTTTTTAATTGCAGAGAGAAACCTTGAACTTTCAACTCTTCAGTTTTTCCTATTCCCTGATCACAGTAGGGATGAGGCATAAAAGGTTATGTTGCAGATTGCACAAACATTCTATAAATAAATATTTGTGTAAATCAGCAAATTACTGAATTATTCACAACTTTTTTCTGGCATTCCCCAACTTGGCCAAAAAACCAAATTTATTTATTATTTTACTGTGGGGAATGAGTTACTTGTCAGTAAGAGTTGAAATTCTAAACCTTCAGCCTGATATCCCCCAGCTCCTTGAACTAGATGAGCTAATACTGGCTTGTCTCTTAGACAAGCTTATAGTCTGATCCCGTTCCCTCTGTCTTACTGTGCTTGTATGCGACATAGCAAAACTGTCCACGTACAATTATAGAAGCTTTTAAGCATTAACATAATACAAATGCACATATACCATGATGCATTTTGCTGACAAAATGTATGACTTTTCAAATTTGCGTTATAACAGGTTAATCTGAGATTTGGAACCACTGATTCTCTTTTTTCTGAAAGGAAATAATGACTGCCTTTGGCAATCAAACATGTATTATATGTATGTAACATGCATTGATTCAACTACTGCCATCTCCAGAGCGATGAGACTCAGGTCAAACTCTAATCCCTGTTAAATTCTGGTTTTTGTTTCACAACGTGTTAAGGAAGCCCTTTGATCTAGGGATCACATGTACTTTGGCCTTTGCACCCCACTCATCAGAATCTTAGCAAAGGAAGATCTGAGCATGGTAATTCTTCAGAGGGAGGAGGAAGAACATAGCAAGAATAATACGAACACGGTTGTGGAGTTCAGAAAGTCCATAAAGAACAAGTAAGGCTGCTCAACTTAGGCCAAACTTGAGGACTAAAAAAACTGTTCAGACTTTTGGAAATACAAAGGTTATTTAAAAAATAACTATGTATTGTTCTTTGGTAATACTGAAGGAAACACAGCATCATCTGGTGTCTGGTTTCATCACCTAATTTACCTCATTTGTAACTTTTCTCCAAGATAGAAATGTTTGTTGGTTAGTAAGATTTTACTTGCAAAAAAAAGAATAGAAGTTAAATATTGTGACAAAAGATCAGCAATATCATAGCCTTAATTTGGTGCTTGAGATTAAGGTCGGTATGGGGTAGGGAGTTCATTTACCCTGGAGTATGTTTGAAACAGAATGTTGGAAGATCTTAGTAGGATTTCTGTGGCATGCTTGAAGTGTGATTTGATGGCATTCAGAGGATTAGAGGAGGTTAGTTAAAGGATTATTTACATCTTTGCACATACTGTCTGTTTCCAGTATGCTTCAGCCCAGCTGGATTCCCTGCTTGTCTAGTTTTATTGATCACATTACTGGCATAGCACTAATGTGGTGCTAGTGATGCATTAGACAGTGTAGCACCAGATATGTTTAATGTTTCTGAAGCTACTAAGATAATTCAGGGTGGGTTTTAGGCCAGATCCTGAAGTGCAAGAATTCATTGTGGAAATATTTATATCTGTTTAATTTTGGCAGACCAGCAAGTTGTTTCTTGTCTTTTTTCCAGGCATAGGTGAATCATTTTTAGTGACTTGTAATACCCCCTCCCCTCCCCAAGGTAACTAGACAGCTAGTTTTAAAGCTGTACTGAATAGTTGATTAAAAAAATTAAAAAGTGCAGATAAAAACACATGTATATATTGGAAAGCATTAGGTAGTGTGATTATAGGACTCATTAGACAGCTCTGCCTGTAACTTAGCTGTAAAAACGTAGCAGGTAATGAGCTGCTGGAGTAACAAAAGTACTGTGAGCAAGTACTTAAATATTTTCATTGTTGGGCACCCAACATCCGAGAATGGAGGATGAGCTCACTAATGAGAAAATGCAGCCAGTTCTAAATGTGCTAAGGAAATACCACTCTTGGACCATGACTGAGTATATTGTGTCTTTGGTAGCTATTTGAAGTGTAAAACTTGTCGTGGCTACTGGGGAGGAAGCGTTTTGTGATTTCATTTTGATACAGTGATTACTGTTCTGCCTCAGTATTGTTGTCTTCTGCCCTTCTTTATTTGCAGGGTTGGCTCCTTCCCTTTTCTGCTTGCCTTTACTCAAGCAACAGCAGGGTGAAGCTGAGATGATTTAGTGATGTTCTTGCATCAGGGTTCTGACTAACAACTGTGAAACTCAACAGTATCGTTAATTGCATCTTACTGTTTGTGTAAACTATTAGTTATGAGGGAGACCCTGGAGTTGTATGGCTGCAAACTCAAGCAGTACTGCATCAGTTTACATTCATAGGCTTTATTCTTTCTTTCTTCTCAAAACCGTAACAGTTAGTAATGTGGATTGGTGTATTTTAGGCTGTGGATAGCTTGGATCTTCTGAGCTTGCTGAAAAGGAGTTACATACACTCCCTACATAGTGTACATTCATCCTACTACCAGGTAGTTTGAGTGAATTTTTAAAATTAACTCTTTCCATTGTTTAAAGCTCTTTGTCATCTTACCCGTAAGTTTTGTGTTTTGTAATTAACGTTTTGTGAAAGACTTACTGTAGAACTTGGCTGCACTGACATCGTTATGGAATTCAGGGGATGATTGAAAATACAACAATTCACGGATGCTGAACATACTGACAGTCCAATCTTTTTTTTATTTTGGGTGAAGAATAATAACTTACTAGAGAATTACATAGGAATTCTTTTTAATGCAAGTTGCTTTGTGTACTATTTAATGGAATTAGGATTAAGCAAAATAATGCTACGGTGAAATGTCACAACTTAATATTTTGAGAAGCAAACATGAGCATACTGTTACTATGAAGAGATAATTTGAACCATCTGTGATTCCTGAAGTTCTTGATGGTCGTGTTTTTAAAACTGACTTAACTAAGCTGAAGATAATATATGTTACATGTTGAAAATGTTCATAATCTTTTGGTTAATAGTATTTGCCATAATCCATTTCTGAGTGCTTTGAAAACTGTTTCATCATCTTAACTGGTCTTCTCTAAACGTACAAAGTAATATTTATCTTAAAGATTTTATTTGTGGTTCAGAATTTGCATGCTTCTAATTGACGAGGCCATCAGGCTTGCTTGTAATATTGCTGCTGTACATTTGTGTATGCGTAGTATTTGCCATTTCTTTTGCTGGCATGTAACCTTTCAAGAGGTACATGTACAAAATGCATAGCACGGCCAAGGCTATGAGCTTCTACAACCATCACCACTTAACAAAGATTTTCTGGAATCATTAACACTTATCAGCTTCCTTATTTGTGTTTTGCCTAAAAGCTCAGATGAGGAAAGAAACTTAACGTGGGTTTTACACACTTGAATAAATATATGGCAGGAGCTTAACACAGCTTACTCTTAGGAATTATACTTCTAACAGACAGAGAGACTCGTGGCCAGTCTGACCAAACTCAGCATGTGGTTGCAACCACAGTGGGTGCACTGTGCAAGTGTGTCCAGGCTGGGGGGAAGAAGATTGGGAGCAAGAGAAATGGGACCATCTCTTCTGTTAGCAGCTCGTGTTTGTAGTAGCTTAAAAGTAAGAAGTTTCACCCGAGTTTCTTGGACCTAGGTAGTTCTTGGCAAATCAAGTAAACTATTGGAGCACCTGTCCCGTGCTAGTTTTGGGAATGCCATGACAAGGGCAGCTGAATAATAGAAGTCAGAATTAATTGTCACTGTACTTACCAGTTTGAGAAGTAAAAGTTGGGCATAAATTTTAGAATTAGTGTTCTGCAGATACCCTGTCTGTAAAGACAGTCCACAATTTTGTAGATTTTGTAGTGGTTTTGGTTTGGGTTTTTTGCTGGTGTTTTGTTTTTGTGGGTTTGGTGTTTTTTTTTTTACCATGAACCAAAGCTTCTTTCCCTTTGTAGCTGTAGAAGATCTTCTGATATAACTAGCAAGGTTCTCCAGCAATGGACGTTTGTACTCTAGGCGGGGTGTGTGTGTATGTGTATATGTATGTATGAATATAGTATAGTGAATTGAATAGGAGGCAATAAAAGCACATTGTTTAGGTTTTTATTTTGCTTTGTTTTTTGCAGGATTGGTAATTTAGGTCTCAGTTGCTCAGGTTTTTCAGTATTTATTTGTGTTTTTTTCAGCATAGAAATATATTAGAGAAATGGCATAGGAAGTGAGTACCAACATTCAGAGGTTATTGTGTATGGCTGTCACTGAACATTAAGCACTTAATACATTTTCTGAAAGGGTTTCATGGACACAAATTGCAAGTCATGTAGCATTCCAGATCTTACACATGGAAATATTTTTTCTCTCTCAATTTGAATGTATGTAATTCATCTACTGGAGCGCTGGAGTCAATGTAGCAGTAACAAAAAAAAAAAAATCAAACTCTAACTTACATTGTAACAGATTTGATTCCTAAAAATACTATTTAGTAACTTGAAATAAACCAACATTGTTCTGAAATAATGAGGAAGAAAAACCATACCATGTTTTGGTTCAGTCAGCAGACAGCACAGTTCTGAAATCTCAGCCTATAAGAAAGTTGAACGTTGAACTTTTGTGTGTGAGTAAAATCATGAGAGGAATATTTTTTTAAAATCTGTTACAGCATCCTAACAGCATTAGATTGCATTACATTACATGTATATATCCAGTTTGAATTCAGATTCCAGTCTCTTTCTCTTCATGTTTTTCGTCTCTAGGAATTTAAATCTCTTCCTTGATACTGATTTGATAAAGTGGTTAATTTGACTTGCAGTGTTTTTACAAAATAGTCTGCTAGTAGTTTGAAAAATTTTGTAAGGGTTTTTTTTTAATGTAGTTAGAATTCTAGTGTATGAGAACACTAGAAGATAGTCAAAAGCATGCAATATATATTGTTTATAACTGAAATACTGATAGAATTTTTAGAATAATGAGTTTTTCGCACATAACTGAGACCAAAGGAAGGCTCAGTGGTATCTGAAGATAAGTCATCCACAGAAGTTTTAAAAAAACTACAGTATCGATGCCTGAAACATTGTCTTTATCTTTAGGATTTCTTTTTTTTAATTTTTTAAATTGTGCGTTTCTTTACTTCTAAATTATCAAAACTGTATTTTGACTGTTCTGAAATGATCTAATGCATATTTTCTGGTTATGTTCTGCTTTTATCAGTATCTGTTGTCTCAAACTGCTGTATTGTTTTATGATGTTTTTAATAGTGTGGAAAAATTGAGTAAAATTGTGCAACGTTCTTTACCTTATTACTTGATTTATTTTCATATTCCTACTTTTTGCATTGAATGACAGCTGCTAGCCGGGATGATAGCAGAACCTGCTTTTCTCTCTGAGTATACTATCTTTGCTTTGGATCCCACCAAACAACCTAAGCCCCAGAGTGACGGTGTGGTGAGTCCTCCCACCCCTCTTAGTGATGCCTTTAGCAGGGGGAGGAGAGTACTGTACTAGAAGGCAAACCTAGTGTTGCTTGTGGCTTGTTCTCACAAAGGCATCTATCTTAACTATCCTGTTGCTAACCCCGCACTAAATTTCACAGAGGTAGTACCTGATAGCTCCTGGCTGGTGTGCTGTATGATGTGGATTTATTGTAATATAAAAAAATTAACACATTTTCTGTTATACAGGTAACCGTACTCCACACAACTTTTAAATAATTGTTGCACAAGTTTGTATGTTTGTTGCTTAGAATTCATTAATGCCATTGAAAGTCTTCATTTTTATGTATGTATTTCAAGATAAATGGATATGAAAAACTGAGATTGTTTTTGTCTAAAAATTACTTGCTTTTTGCTGTGTACAGTGAAAGCCTCACAATGTTATTTACTACTAATGGTAGCAGGAAATAATCATCTCACATAAACACTGAAATTCAGCTACTTCTAGTTGGTAACCTGGCAGCTATTATTGTGAGGATAAATAGTCTTTTTTTTAATAATTAGATTTTTTTTAAATATGTCTTTCTTTGCCTTGAAATGCTGTTTTCATAGTATACAAGTGGAGAAGCTCAGTGAGAAGAGAACAAGGAGTGGAGAGAAAGAAGCAGGCATCAGGAGGAAAGCAGCCTTCTAACATAAGCACATACAAAGCTGTATGCTTCTCATTATTGTCACAGGATGAGATGGCATCTTTCACATACTTCAGAGACTAGTCTGTAGTCATTCAAAACAGAGTGTTTTTTAGAGTCCCAGCTCATCCTCATACTTCATGATTACTTTGCTTTTCCAGTTTAGCAAGTGCTTTTTTGCTGTTCACACAGAGGCTGAAAATGACAAGTCACTGAAAGCTATAACAGGATAGAAATTTGATAAGCAGATGGACATAGCACAGCACAGCATGTTGTGTTGGACTTCTCGCTCAAGCTAAGCAAGATTGTACTGAAACAGTGAAAAGGCGATCTGTGGAAAGTCTTCATTTGTTGTAAAGGGTTATGCTTGTTCAGAGCATGCCCTTAGAGCACAGATTCATTACTAGCTCCGTCACGGTGTTCTCAAAATTGAGCTTTTTGATGGGGAGCAAAGAGGACATTCAAACTGTGCTGAAATCCGTAGTTTTGAAATAGTTACTAGATTATTTTTTTTTCAGTTCTAGACATTTTGACCATATTCCAGGTCCAGTGATAACTACTTAAAGTTTCACTGCAAATTTAATTAAGCTTTTCTACACTTAGAGCGGTAAACAGTTGTGGGCTGTTTTTCACTACACTACAGAATATCCCTAGTACAGTTGCATTTCAAAAAAAGGTATTTCTATGAATGTTCAAATGTTGTCTTTATTATCTTTTAGTATATACTTTAGTGGCAGGAATCAGACTTGCATGTTTATATACAAGACTGCATACATAGCAAATAATTATAACGTAAGAGTTATCGTTAATGTGTTACCAATGTGTATTAATAATACGTTACCTGTAAAACTGATTTTGTTCTCTGAACTTTTTGAAAGCTCTAGAGCTGTACTCTCACAGTAAGAAGAAAACGATACAAAAGTTTATAGGGAAGAGAAGGGCCAATTATATACAAATATATATTAAAAAACCCACATTATATACATTTGGGAAACCTAGGTAAACTAAAGATGCAGGAGAGGGAAAGTTTCATCAACAAACACACACAAATGCGTATTAATTCTGCTAAAACAGACCAGTATTTTAACTGTGTGCGCAAGTGATGTGTGATCCAAGGGAGTGAGCATCTTAGGGAAGTGATTGTAAGCATGGATTTTCTAGCATAGATGAAGTTAGTGTAAACTCTTTACTAACTAAGCTGCATGGGTTTTGTTGCATGAAGAAACAGTTCAAATACTCTTGGACAGAGAGGTTTTCTAAAGAAAAATTAAAGGAAGATTAGGGAAGAAAATGTGTACGAAGCTCTCCTTCCTTCCTCCATAATTTACTCAATTTTGGAATACCTGAGAAGGAGGGAGAAAAGTAAAATTTTTTAAATGCAGACATTTAAGCTTTCACTTTTTAGGCTTATGAGTCTATTTATACCTTTGAGAAATAAATAAGATGAACTAGTTTGCATTTCAGAAATAGGGAAGTAAGGAAGCACAGGTGTCACTAGAACGCCCTAATGGGCTTCAGTTAAAACTGAGCTCTGGTTTACACATCTTAATAACAAAAAACCACCTTTTTATTAGAGAATGTAAGTATAGCTCTCTTTGGATAGAGATATAGTTGTGTATGTTCTATGGGTTCATGGAGGAAAGACTTCTGTTGGTCTCCAGAAACCCTGATGTAACTCTGCTGGTTTTAAGACTTTAAAAGCGCCAGCCTGTGCTCTGTGATTCTAGTTTTGCTGAAACATCTCTTAAGGCTTATGAAAGGCTAGGGCTTTTAAGCTCTTCAAAGCCTCTTGAATCCGTATTTATATATAGCAACTTCAATTCATGCTTACCTTTCATTGTGTGGACAGCAGAATATGACCCTTTGCCCTAGAGCACAGTGACTTAGAATTGCAGCAGCTAGATACCTGCGGTGGTCCAGTTTTTATATAAAAGATTACCAATGTATCCCTTTTATGATTTATGCCAATAGAAAGTCTAATCCCAAATATAGGTTCTACTTTTGTTCACACAGATTGAATACAAAGATATCAGCGCAATTAATAGGAAAATTTTAAAAGTGGTGACATTAGTTTTGAAATGGCATTTTTTTAAGGATCTTCATAGATCCTTAAATAGCAGCTTTTTAAGGTTCTTCACAGAAAAGAACAGCATCCATGGTTTTTATATTCATAAACACCTTACTGGAGTTAATAAATCTACTTAATCTTACGTTTTAAAATAGATCTTAAATATTATTAAATTATTCTTATGAATTAAATGTATAAACCCTCCATAGTTTCCTTTAATTCTTTTTATGGGTATCAGAGTATATGATTTTTGAAAAGTGTTTGTAGTTAGTTTGTAATTCTTGGTAAGGTGTTTGTCTTCCTCTATTGTCAGTCCAGTACTAGCATGGTAGGTGCTTTGTAAATTATAAAGCAGAAGATAAATTTTTATTTGGTTTACCCTTATTATTAACTTTCCAGTTACGAAATGAAAAAGAACAGGTAATGGAGCCGAGAAAAAAATGTAGGAGTACTTTAGTTTAAAACCCAGTAACAGCTCTTAATCCACTAGGAATAAATCCACTGCAACAGGATAGTGCTTTGAAGCAGAACGCAGATTTCGTTCAAGCCAGGTGAAGCGCAATTTCCAAATCCAAACAATATTGTATGCCTGGTTATTGCTCTTTTCGCTTTGTCTGCTCATTTCTCTGGCTTCTTTAACTATCTGGATTTCTCTTTCCTCTGTGGTATTTTTGTACTTTAAGTTTGCTCCACGTCAAACCTTTCTGAAGCCCTTTTACACTGAATCATTCCTCTTCTACATTTATGTTTGTGCTTATCTGCGTATCCACACAGAATAGAAGCTGTGGGTGTAATCATGTAGCAGATACATGCATGATTATCATTGATATTTTAGTGGTATATACACCTTGGATTTTACAGCTTGCATGTAACTATCAGGGTACATCTTGATTAAAAATTAGAAGTTACACTGCTTTTAGCTGAATTCCTCATACGTTGTTCAATATGTCTCAGTGCTTTGCTTCTCTTGGGAAAAAATCATATCCAAGATGGTTTCTAGCATGTTTTGCTACTTCAGTTTGACCTGGTTTAAACACCAGAAAACCATCTGGATTTGTACAGGTTAGAAAATACCTGACCACAGGACATAGGAAAAGCAGAATAGACAGACAAGGAACAGAAATGTCTGAAGTCTGTTTAAAAAAAACAACAACAACAAAAAAAAACCAACCCACCAAAAAACCCAAAACAAACCCCAAAACTGTTGTTTTCTGTTGTGTTGGTTTTGGTTTTTTGGGTGGGTGGGGGTTTTTTGTTTTTCTTTGTTTGGGAGTGCAGAGGAATGTACGCGTGAAGTCTTGCGCAGGATGTTTTTTCTGAAAGTCTTAATTTTCTTCCTGTGCTTGTTTGGAGTCTTAAACAGCCTGTTACCAGTACTTTTTTTCCAGGTAGTTTCCACACGCCACCCCCCCACCCCCACACATCCCCAAATGTACTTAAACAGAGAAAGACGGTGTGATTCCACTGTTACTCCTGTTGGCTGTAAACAACACTGGTCATCAATTAGATTTTTCCTGCTATCATTTTGTCTTTTTGGTGTTTCTTTGATTTGTGCATAAATGTTACATAAATAACCATTATGAATAGTTTAATTGGAGATGTCAGCACTTGCAGATGTCTCATACTAATCCGTGCACACATAGCTGCTTTGTAGTTCTGTATATTGCAGCAATCTGTATTGAATTTAACCAACTAGTTTGTTTGCATGAAGACAGCTTAATAAACATACAAAAGAAAGTACTAAAAACACAGGCAAGGAAAAAGCACAGATGCTATTTGTAGGAATCGGTGAATTACAGTCCTTGTAGTCTATTCCTTCTAACAGTTGTTTTTCCTCCTGTAGAACTTAACTAAACAACCACTTCCCAGATCCACAGAAAACAATGGAAGCGGACCGGCCTCCCCGCAGGTATGGGGAGGATATGGGGGGTTTGTTTCCTCCTTCACTGCCGTGTTGTCTTTGCGTTATGTTGGCTTATATCTTCATGCTGGAGTAGGGATGACAAGTACTTGCCTGTCAGGATACTAGGGTGTTTTGTTTGTGTATAATCCCATTAGCTGGTATTAAGCGTTGTCACTGATGCGTGGAGCTTTTTTTGTAGGGACAGGTTAGCAGTGTCTGACGGCATGCTGCAGGCTGACCCCGTTGAGGTGCGTCTCTGCTCGTGGACACAGCCAGCACGGGATATGGCGCGTTACCCTCGCTTTCAAAAGTAGAGGGCGTATTGCATGGCTAGAAAGCTGACTTCTAGCTGAAGGAAAAGAACTGATAAGCCTAAAAAACCTGCCACTGGTGATAAAAGTGGGGGTCATTCTTTAATATGTCTCAGAAAAAGTTTAGCTTCCTGGAGTGGGATTAGCAGTGGCTCCTAGCACGTGTGTCTCAACACTTGACTGGGGGCAATGTTGTGCAGTAATGCTTTCAAATCGCTTCTGTAGCACCAGCAGTATATGGTGCCATAGCACAAACCTTTTGTTTTAGAACAGCGTAAGTACTTTAGCGGCATAAATCAATAATCACATTTTATGTAAAAATCATAAAGCCATTTAAAATAAAATAAAAAAAAGACTAAGATGGCATGCTAGAACTATTGTACAAGGACTTTTACAACAAATTTGTTCTCTTAATCATAGGAAAATATCTTTGTGTCTTTGAGATAGATACAGTCTTCTGTTTAATACACCAAGTGAGTCACAATTTTTTTTAACATTTGGAACAACAGTAAATGCAACACTTTGTTTTAGTTACATATTCTTCACTTTTTAAAGGGGTTACACAGAAATGCATTCTTTTAGAAGTTTAAATCAGAGCTGTAGATTATTGGATTTAGTTGCTGTCTGAAATTGCCCACATCTGGTAGCGGCATGCTTGGTTTTTCTGCACAAGGAGGTGATTCTTCTAAGGGAGTGGAAGCTATTTGGTGTCATGCATGCGTTAGGCAACAGTCGTTCCTTTGCCCAGGTCAGGTCTCTGTTTCCTAGGCTTTAGTGTGTCTGTCTGCCTAAAAGCAGTGCAGAAGTAATTCCTTGCTTTGAATTTTTGCAGCTGAGTGACGGTCAGTCTTTTGCCCAGAGGCTTCAGCTCCGAGTTCCCTCCATGGAGTCTTTGTTTCGAAGCCCAGTAAAAGAGTCCCTGTTCCGCTCCTCTTCTAAGGAGTCCCTGGTACGAACTTCTTCAAGAGACTCATTGAATCGACTGGACTTAGACGCAGCCGGTCCCACCTTTGACCCACCTTCCGACATTGAAAGTGAAACAGAAGAGCCTCCGGGAAATGTGGACAGCCTCAGCAAAGAGCAGTTGCTGCAGCGGCTGCGCAGAATGGAGCGCAGTTTGGGCAACTACAGGGGAAAATACTCAGAGGTAGGCAACGTTGTTACTGACTTACCTGGGCGGAGAGGGGGAAAGGATGAGGCTAACGGACACTGCAGTAGTGGATAATCTTTTCGTTTTCCTATTTGGAGCAAATGGATCAACTTACAGCTAACATGGAAGTGAAGTTATTGTTGTAAGTCTAGTTATTTTTGGCCTAGATAGGCCAAATGTTTTTCTGGTAATAAAATGTGGAAATCCTTTTCTTCTCTTGTTTGTAAATGATTTCATGTTGTCAGCAATAGAGATTAATTGGTAGTTACTCACACAAAGTAGGCCTATGACGGTTTCTGCTGAAAGCCCATAACAAGGGGCGGAGTTCAGTACAGAGGTGAGCGTGGCTTGTACTCGCATGACAGCAAATTTACTTTTCTTCTGAAACTTGTTCTTGAAGTACACAATGTATATTCCATGTACGTGCGATGGGCGAGCGTTTTGTTTTCAATAAATAAGTTCTGCTCCCCATAATTTCCAGATATTCTCTGGAAGGAATTAATTCAAGGACTATTTCTTTTGCTATTTTAGTGAAAACCAATGATATCAGTAGTTTTGCTACTCATTTCCCAAATTGCTGGGAAAAGTAAAGCTTTCCAAGTGGTGGTGTTGGGGTTTTTTTTAAGTATATGTGTGTTTTGCGTTTAAAACTGGCCATTTGCACTGTTTTTTACAGTTCTTTAAATGTTTGCTGCCCTCAAATACAAAAATTCCTGTGCAGACTTTTGGCTATTACTGTCAAAATCCCTGGAATCTAAAATATGTATACAGCAATTACAGTATTCAGCATATACCTGAAAAAACAGTTGTCTTCCATTAATTCAGGAATTGTTGTCTCCCCTTCATTTTTCATTCTCTTCTGGCTAGTATAATAAGATATATTTTTTAAAAGTTTATGTAAACAGTGTTGCCAAAATGAAAATTCTTCAGTTTGTAGGTTTGTTTTGGTGGTTGGGTTTTTTTGTGTTTTGTTTTTTGGGTTATTTTTTTTTTATGTAGTCTGTCCAGCAAGTCTTAATTTTCTCTACCAAAAAGGTCTGGGTTTTTTTCTGTTTTTGTGAGTTTCTTTAGTTAAGTTGGAAAAAATCGTTTTGCTGGAGCTTGGAAGAAAGTAGTTTCAATATATAATGAGAATTTAAGATGTAAAATTCTTTTCTTATTTAAAGTAGGATACAAAGTTAGCATCTCAAAAAATACAGTAAGGGAAACCATCCGTAGTAGTTTTAGTTTTCTTTTAAGTGCAAAATAAGTATGACTCTGAAATAAATTTTGAATTCTGAAAAATCCTAATTTATTTTAAATAAAAATTTGAAGCTGTCTTTTGACTTAGAGATTTCTGGTTTTGGTGTTTTGGATTTGTTTTCCTTTAATTTTTCAGCAATTTCAAAACGGAATGTTCTAGTTCCAAGTGCCATTATGCTACTTCAGCTTTGGACAGCTTAGGCAATTGTGATCAAATTTTTAATTAAACTAAATTGTGCAGTTACTCATGAAGTCCTTTTGTCAGCTTACAATGAGAAATATTGTCCACTTCCAGTCTTTCTTTGTCTGCTGGGTATATGCAAAGCACATGGGATGAGAACATTTCAGTATTACACAGACCGTATTTTGCTGGACTTGTAAGTGTATTTTTTAATGCATACTCACTGTAAAATTAATTTTAGTTAAGCTCTGGGACGTGTACCCTTACAAATGTACATCCCTGTCAGGTAGCTGTCTGGGATGTAACTTTCTGATACAGTTGGTTTTTTGACTGCCTGTATTGAAGTACGGCTGTTCTTAGAGGTCTTTTTAGTGAAGGGAAAACTGTGCATGAATGCTGAGTAACCTCATTGTTTTGTCATGTAGGCTTTATTTTTTTTTTTAACACATTGGAGATATTTTAGACATGGAAAAAGCAAACATTGAGGAAAATTTAAGTATGTTTCTATCAGAAGAGCTTTCTCAAGTGAAGAGTTTGAAAATGCAAATAGTGATACAACTAAGCAAACTATTTTGGTAGCTATAAGCGGATACATTATCATCATTATACCTGATTTCTGTATTTTAGCTAGTGTCTGCATATCAAGTTATCCAGCGGGAGAAGAAGAAGCTACAGGTAAGCATTACTCTTCATCCTTTCTTACCGGAATGCCTTTCTGAATCTTAAAATGTGTAGTGCAAATACAGATTTAATTTTCAGTGCATTATGTGTGTGTATTTACACAATACGTTGTGTATGTGTGTATATATATGTGTGTGTAACAAGACTTTTTCTTAGCTGGGATTTCTAAGGAAGCCAAGCTAATATTGGTTTGTCAAAATAACTGGGAAGCTATTGTAATCCAGCCTATTTTATTGCATCAGCTGAATTCAGGTGATAGATTGCCAACTCACAGTTGGCAGTTTATGATAATACTTTCTCTTTCAAGTCAAACTTGATGTGTAATACAAATCATTAATTCTTCTGCTGAAATACAATTCTATGAATTTATTTATACTTTAAAGCTACATTCAATACACCTGATGTTTATTCTTCCTTTTCTAAGGGCATTCTGAGTCAGAGTCAGGATAAAGCACTCCGCAGAATTGGAGAACTGAGAGAGGTAATTTCCTTTATTGATTGAATATTTACTATATACCACACATACATAGGATCTTTCTCTCCCCAGCTTTTGATTTTTTTTTTGTTCACTTTACAAAATATTTTCTATCGCACAGCAGGGTTTTTTACCACTTGTTTTCACTTGTTTATATGGGCTTATTTCTCTGGCTTGTTTCCTATTCAGCAGCTTATTGTCATACTCTAAGACAGAGCAGTTCATCGTACTGACTGAACTGCTTTTCTATTCATTGTGAAATAGGTAGAAATGCCTGTGGTTCTTGCAGTATTGTTGGGCCCAGCAGCAGATGTCTCACTGCAATTTGTTGCTCTTCTAGTATTGAGAAGTACTAATGTTAGGCAAATACAAGTAATAGGCACTTTTTAATAAAGATTTTAATGACTATCAATAAAAAAAAAATTATGATCCAATTTTTAAAAATACTCATCTTGATCTCAATTATAATATTTACATTGTTTTTATGGATTTGCAGTATAGTTTGATTTCAATCATAAAATCAGGTAGGTTGTGTTACGATTATTGTCTCCTTAGGTTATAGTGACATTAAAAGGAGAAGCTCTAATGTATTTGATATTGATAAAAAACACATTGGGCTTAATTAAAAGACATGTACAAATTACTGGGCAGAGCAAATTAAAAGGGCAAGTTAAAAAAAAACCATATTGTCAAGCCCTGGTGAAGCAGAATGTGAAGCTGAAGCCTTTTTACTGCCCCAAGAGCCAGTGCAGCATCAGGAGATGGGTGTGCGATGGCCTCTCTGTCCATGCTCTTACCTTGCTTGGGAGCTGGATACCAGTTCGCTCAAAGCCACAGGCTTTCTCCGTGGCTGTACTCCTGTTTTTGGCATGCGCCGTGCCGAGCAGCAGCGCTCGCGTGGAGGTTGCAAGAGCCATCAGACCATGGCGAGGTCTCACCTTTGCCTGAAGGCAGGCTAGCTCCAGGCAGCTGGGCGTCTCGCCTGCAGGCAGGGCCGAGGGTCGGTCTTTTGAGGGTGAGGGATGGTGACTGTGAGCATCTGGATGTGCATGTACCCAAGGCTCGTGCTCACCTGCAAGGGCCTGCCCCGTGCGACCAGTCAGGCAGCCATTCATTTTGAAGGAGGTCACTGGCAAATTGCAGGGCACTCTTCAGCGATGCAGGGTGTAATCCAGGTAAGCGGGCTGTGAATTCTGCACGCCATGGCGGGTAGCATTTTGGTTCAGATCCGTGCTGCTTCTGCCCCAGCAGCTGAGAACAGTGGGCCAGAGTGCTGGGTGTGCTGTGCTCATCTTGAGCCCCCAGAGCCTGCGCCTGGGCTATTGTCCTGTCCTAAGCTAAACTGGCAGCCCGTAGGAGGGGAAAACCCACGGTGTTACTGACAGAAGTGGCTTGCCAAAGTGTTTTTGGTTGTTTTTTTTTTTCCGGTTTACTGCAAGGTCAAATGAGAGAAGCTCATTCTGTGTTAAGTCTATATCCGCATGCTCCAGTAGGTTTAGTTTTCCAGCTTATTGGTGCTTGGTAAGGTTTGGAAGGCATATATATACCAGAGTTAAAGCTTTTGATTTTGAAAAAGGGTTGGATGTGTGCATACTTATTTTTCACTACTTCTGTCATAGTCTTTCTGATTCATATATATAAAAGTTTTTTATATATATATTTCTGATTTTTATATATATATATATAAATTTGTATATATATTTGGCATAAAACAATTTCATTCTTATAAATCTTGTAGATTTAAAGATTCCTTCAAATCCTAACACTGGAAGTCTTTTTTATTAATTGAAAAACTTCAAAAAGTAGTTTTTTGGTTCTTTGGAAGCTCAAGTGTTATAGCATTAGGTAAAACAGACTTAAAAGAAAAATTACAAATAAAATGGTACGTTTCCATTGTGGAAGCTAAAATGGTACAAAATAGATCATTCATTGATGTAATAATCTGTTATCAGAAATCAATTTAAAACATCCTTTTCTTCATCATTCAGTCCATTTTCCCCATAAATATGTTGAATCAGACAAGTTTCTTCTAATAGGGCCATGTAAGAATAAACTGTCTCCTTTGAGGCCAAGCTGACAGTGTGAAATAGTCCCTGGAAATGAATGTGTCTTTTGCTTACCTTAGTTTTATCCTGTTAAGAGTAATTCCTCAACAGCAGTCTTCAAGCAGTCTTCGGCATTCTTCTCAGACAAGGATCAGAAGGGACTTTGGGAGGACTATTTCTGTGTTGGTTTCAGTAAATCTCTTTGGCACTTGTTCTTGCACTGAGCTGGTTTGCTTTGCTTGGAAGGAATTGCTTCTAAAGCTCAGAAGCACAAGGCAGAAGTGTGATCAGTAGGTGTTGAAAACCTGAGGCAATGCAGGGTTAAAAAGTGGATATAGTTACTTGGGAAGAGAGAGGAATAGTTTTCCCAGTGATGCCTTCCAGCGCTGTCCTGCCTGTGTATGGCTGGGCAGGCTCAGCTCACACAGCTGTGGTTCTCAAAGCTGGTATCAGGCTCAGCTGTGGCAGCTGGGATTCACTGTTGGAGGTAAGGGATAGGCAGCAAGAGAGCATAAAAGCAGGATTCAGAGTTGGAGGAAAGCAATGCAGGAAACACCTAGTGCCCTGTGTTTTGTCTCTTGTTTGCTTTTTCATCCCTTCCATCATCCTCTGTCTTTGCCTGGCTAACAGAACCCGTGTTTATGGGGGGTGCTTGCTTTTATACAGGCAATCTTTGCAGAATAATGGTCATAGAAGCATTAGTTTCCTAGGGTAAATCACTGGGAATATATATATGGATGAAGTAAAAAGTAAAAAGTGTAAGTTAAAAAAAAAAAAATACAAGTTTGGGAAATTATTTACAGTGCATGCATGAAATGTGTATGATTCTGATTCAATAAGCAGTTAAGTGTGAATTAATTTGACTTTAAATACATTTATTTTCTATTAGAACAATAATTATTTAAAGACATTAAAATATTTAAACTTTAAAAGCACAGGAGGTAAATAAAAGAAACCTCCCTAAGGCAGTATTTTATAAGATTATGTAAATCCTACTAATGCATTTAGGCAACATCTACAAGTTTCTAAAGGTGTTCAGCCAAATGAATGCAAATAAGTAGCAAGTAAAGCCACATAGTTAAGTTCTTTGGCATTCTCTGGCTTTCTCATTTGAGACACGTTTGAGGAATAAAAAAGCCAACTTTCTGCTCTTACAAATGGCATTTGTCATATTAGAATGCTATCATATTGAATGAGCATCAGAAAAATTTACATTTCTGCTGTTTATGTTGACTTAATCTGGTGGCTAAATGAAGAATCCAGTTTACTGAAGTGCAGTCTTCAGCTTCCGGGAGAAATGTGTGCATGGAAAACAAGTTTCAGGAGCAGGCTTGAAGTGATCCCTACACAAACTTATTTTTAGGAAGAAAGAATCCTTGATAATTTTGCATCAAATCTATATTCTTGCTGTTTTAATGCTGGTATTATAATGGGATGTTCTTATGTTGTATAGTAAAAGAAATATCCATTTCATGGTTGTATTCTGGGATCACAACTGCGAAGATGTATTTTTAATATTATTTCATAATATTTTGATAAGCCTTTTAAATTCACATTTCAGTTTTCATTTGAGATGTGTTTATTTATGATTCTCAGGAGCTCCAGATGGATCAACAAGCTAAGAAACATCTCCAAGAGGAATTTGATGCTTCCTTAGAAGAAAAGGATCAACTTATTAGTGTCCTGCAAACTCAGGTAACATACCTTACCCAACAGATGTTCTTTAAAACTGTTCTTCCTACTTTTTTTTTAATTATGTATTCCTATAATGCATGTCCATGTTTTATTATAATTGTTGCGATGTTGTAAAGCTTCTTGAGAATTTATGATTATCTAGAAATTAAGTGCATCTTTGTAGAGGAGACCTTTGTAAAATCTCACTCAAGTTCAATACGATTATTTGATCTGTGCTTAGTAATGTCTTTGTTATCAAGAACATAACATTAGCAGATGTTTGAGCTAAAATTGCTTTGGCAAAATTTATGTGTTTTGCTTAATTGGTCTTTGTTTCTCCACTCATAATGATACTATTTTTGTTAACTGGAAACATAAGTCTGATTTAAAAAAATGTTAAAAAAATTCAGATGGATTTTTCCTTTCTCTACTTGCTGATATCAATTTTATTTAACTCTCTCTAGTTTTGAAGATGAAAACATGATCTACTTAGAATCCTTGGGTTTTTTAACAAAAAGAACATTTTGTTTAGGTATCGTTGCTGAAACAGAGGTTACAGAATGGTCAGATAGGCACTGAATTGCCTGATCCAAATATCCAATCTGAACCACAAGTTCAAAGTCCAACAAAAGAAATCAGTACAGAAAATACTGTGGAACCAGGAAGTGATGGTAGGTATTGCGGCTTTTTCAAGAGATCTGGAATTTTGGGGAATAAGGCTGTTGTTATTTATGATGGAGTAACAATACTTAGGGCTGAACATGTCATAGTAAGGATATATTTTCTAGAAGGAGACAATTGTTTTGAAAACAGTGTGGCAGCTAGAGGACAGGATAACCCTTCTAAGACACTAAATTTTCATAAGAATTCAAATCTGATACAACTTGCCTTTGTCAGTAATGATGATAGTATTGTAATGATTGCTTTTGCTGGTAGGGGTTGTTACTATCCCCACTTAATATGATTAAGAGATTCTGTCCCCCGTAAGCAAGGACCTATTCCTGGAGTTTAGAGAGGGACCAGTTGCCAGTCTTTTTTTTTTTTTGGTGTGCTTTCTCAGGAAAAAGTAAAAACAAAGATCAATTTTTATATTCATGCTATTGAATAATCTAAGTGTTCCTCACACCAGGAGGTTATTTGAGTTACGGGACTCCCTGAGCAAGGGACTTTATAATGCTGATACATCGTTCATTGGTATCCTTCATAAAAGGAAGGGTTCAGACAGGATTGTGCGTCTTGAAATGATCTTTGTTCAGCATCCGCCATGATTTTTGTATGTTAGGATGATATGAAGGGTTAGATCAGAGATTTTCTCATCCAGGGTCATGTCTTTTGTAGTGCTTAGGAAATACTGTAAGTATCCAGTCCCTAAGAATCAGGGTTCAAGATATTTCCTGTGCTGGAGTCTGCTTCTGGACTATAGTGTGTATGACTTATGGTTGTGAACTGAACCTCTGAATTTGTCTGATCCTATTTTCATGCCAAGTACTCTTACAGACTCCAGAGCATCAGAGCAGAACACACAGTAAAATATTACCCAATATGCTAGTTAAACAGAGAGCAGTACAGCTTGGAAAGATGCTAAATGTGGCCTTTATCCTGCCGAATGTAGTATTGCCAACCTGGATATTTTACAATTAATGTCATACCAGCCCTGGGAAAGCAGGAATCGGTGTGTTTGGCACTTGAGAGATGGGATTGCTTTGCTTTGCTTTTTTTCCTGCTTGTGAATATTTGGTTAGTAGCAGCAGGGAGTTTATAAGTCATGATGACTTTCTAATTGCATAGTAAACCTTGTTGAATAGTATTTTGTTTTTGAAGCTTGTATAGTAACTGGGGTTTTGTAAATTAATTTGGGGTGAAAGACTGTATTTACTATTCTGTGTATGCATAGCATGTTTCTGGCAGTTATAGTAGTCACTAGAAAGTTTTGCAAGACTTTGCACAACTTTCTTTAGAGACCTGTGAGTCGCCCACAATGTGAATGATGAATGCAGATCTAATTTTGGAAACGGTGTGCCTATGATAATGTTGGTATGTTGTCTTGTAGAGGGTAATGAAGATCCTGTTAAAACACTGGAAACTCTTAATCAGAGGGTGAAGCGCCAAGAGAACTTGCTGCAACGTTGTAAGGAGATGATTCGGTCACATAAGGAGCGCTGCGCCCAATTAACCAACGAGAAAGAGGCACTTCAAGAACAGTTAGAAGAGAGGCTTCAAGAACTGGAGAAAATGAAAGTATGGAAAATGCTCTTAACTTTATGGGTAGCTACTAAAACACAGTAAGAACTCCAGTATTTCCAAAATTTATTAATAGGGCAGACCATTAAACAAACTGTCCCTGTACTTTTTTTTGGAGTTAAAGGTGCAAAACCCACCTGGAATGAACACATTGAACAATTACTCAAAAAGCTGTAAAGAAGGGTATGAAACCTTACTGTGTGAAAAACCATCAAAATGGTATCAGAAATAAAGTAGCTGTGGGAAGTTGGTGTGAGGAAAAGACTGTCCTAGCACAGAAGACAGGAGGTAAGGCAAGAAAAGTGGACCAAGAGCTAAACCTTTAAGACGTAGTGGAAGAGGCATCAGTTATGTAAATGAACAGAAAACACAAAAAGGCAGGACACTGGAGAGCACAATCTGGTGAAGGTAACATAAGTGCAGTCCCAAAGCTAAATAATTATTTTGCTCAGTTTCCTTTCAAGGCCATTAATGCCAAGTGTGGAGGATAAGTAAGGTGGCCGATAGTAGTGGAAACATGAAAATGTGATAAGTATAGCTGTACTCAACTTCAGTTCTGGAGATCAGATTCTCTTCTCTGTCTTGGTCTCTGAGCTCTAGCCCGGTTTGAAAGAGCTCTGAAAGGCTCTAGTATTTTAAGGACCTTTTCCAGAACAAGGCCAGTAATGAGCAATTATGTTGTATTGCCGAGATCCTCTTGTAAGCCGAGATGCAGGTAATAGAGCAGGTGCCTTAGGCATGTTTCTTGCTCATTTTACTGTAGCAGCTCTGACATCCATGAGAGAACTGTGGAGGCTGTAACAAAGCCTTCAGATATCTGAATTATTATGGAAGCCATAAGGCAGCCTAGCACTGGGAGATTTAAAAGTAATTTAAAGCCGCCTACTTTAATTTCCCTGGATTCTGTTCTGTGCTCTTCCTCCAAGGCATAGCGCAGGGTAAGAGCCAAACCGAAGCTGTTTGTCAGAAGAAGGTATTTTCTTACAGATGGCAGTGCTTTAAACTTGTGGTCGGTGTCTCTTTTTAGGACCTTCACATGGCTGAGAAGACTAAACTGATTACGCAGCTGCGTGATGCAAAGAATTTGATTGAGCAGCTAGAACAAGACAAGGTAAACAAAAATTTTCTTTAAACTCTGTGCAGTTTTTGAACAAGACTGTTTAAAACTCAAAATATCTGGCTTCTTGGTATTAGAAGCTGTTCTTAGTCATCTGATGTGGTTTGGTTTATGTTTTAACTAGCAAATAATTTAAGCTACCTGAGAATTTTATTGTATAGATGCTTTAGGGCATTTGTCTGTTAGGTTATACTTAATACTGCAAGGTAATGTTATTTAGGATGGATCAATTATGCTTAATACACTCCTCAATGCCAGCTTAAAAAAAAACCAAAACAAAAACCCAAACAAACCCCCACCCAAACACTAATGAAGATGAGACAAATGCAAATGAATTAAAAAATGAGCAATGAAGGAAAAGTAAGTAGTTTCTTAGGAATATGGAGAGTTTCTCAGTTTTTTGTTCCTTAAAGTTTTTTTTATCACAGTCTTGGTACTTGAAGTAACTTCTGGTGGTGTAATAAGCTACATGACTAACACTCATTATATGTGCATATTCTCTAAGGAGAAGCACGCACACTACAATGCTTTAGTTTTGGTTTGTTTACAGAATGGATATTTCAAAGAAAAGAATCTGTACCAGAAGCAGGAAGTTTTCTGATGGTCCTTAGTTGCTGGAGGAGTTCTTTTCACCACTAGATAAATTTTGGCTACTCTTCAGAATAATCCCTATTCTTATCTTCTTTTTGTTAGCATTTTCTGTTTTCTGACATAGAAACACCATGATCTCTGGTCTTGCAGTAATAGACTAAAGTTTATTCCTGACAAGGATTGTGTCCTGGCTTGAAATTGTTGTAGCAATATGTTTTATTTATTTGCTAGCTTTTTATCACAAGGACCTTTTCCATAGGGCATGGTAATTGCAGAGACAAAGCGACAAATGCATGAAACATTGGAAATGAAGGAGGAGGAGATAGCCCAACTGCGTGCTCGGATCAAACAAATAACTACAAAAGGCGAGGAATTAAAAGAACAGAAAGAAAAATCTGAAAGAGCTGGTAAGAAATTCTGGGGATTATTAGCTTTCACATTTAAACACGAGAAAGCTTCAGCGTGGTCTTTTTGCACTCTTCATCAGTTGTTGTTTGGAATGGATATTAAGAGACACTATTTTTCCTAATGTTCTACGTATCACCCCTGCTAGCGTCATTACTAACTTCACTTCTGGTCAGCAGAGTTTAGGGATGTTTTTGACTGGTTTGTCTCTGTTGTCAATTCAGCTGGAGTTAGGAAGGAAACTGTGGAAGGGCAGCTGCGCTTTCCCATTTGTAGGAGAAGAGATGGATAGAGTTTGGTGCTGGTGTAACTTCAGGAGGGAAACTTGCAACTATCTAAATTATCATTATAATGCCACCAGTATCTTACATAGAAAACATAGCAGTGAGTGTATAAGAGCTTGGGAAGAAGTAGAAACAAGAGGATGTGTTACAACCATAATAAGCATTTTCTTTCAATAATCATAGAGGAAGCATTTCTGATTTCCTTTTAGTGAAACAGCAGTGATGGTTCCTTTCGCTTCAGGCTTGGAACCTAGCGGTTATGTAACTGTTACATGCTGTAGTTTGCTTTTGATGGAAATTAGGTAACATTAATTATCTGTGCTTGCAGTTCTCCTTTTGCTTGAAACTAAGTTCAAAGGTCAATCCGCCCCACCTTTGTTTTTTAAACAGTGAAATTGTTTTGCACTATATCTATCAAAATTCTTTTAGAAGAATTTAGTTTGCTCTCATAGGAATCTAAAGGAGTTCACTCTCTTGGTGGAAGATCAGATGTGGTTAGTTTGCATAAAACATTATGCATATTTTCTTTCTCTAAAAAGCGATGAGACGTTCAAACAATACAGTTCATAGGGGTTTTATTTTAAATCTACGTAGGTTTAGATCAGAACTTTAAATTTTAAAGATTAGTTTGGGTAGATCATTCTGCTGTAATACAGAAAAGCAGCTGGAACATCCATCTTGTGAAAGTAACAAACGTTTTGACTAGGTGCCCTCCTTTTGTACTACGCTTTCAGCTTGCATGTGTCTTTTTAGCTCTGGAAATTTGTATTTCAGAAGTCAGTCAGTCTTGCTAAAGTTGGATTTTGTTCAGTTCCTGGAGACTAGGAAGCTTTTCTTCATGATTAAAAAAAATGCTGAAGAATATTTTAATACTTCTGTAGATACAATGTTATTGTCATAGCTGTTTGAACACAGCATTTTTTGAAGCAGTAGAAACCTCTTAATTATGAACTAACATCTACACGCTCTGGTTAATACAGTAATTGCCTCAGGTTTGTGTAGCCTGAAGCTGAAAAAAAACTAGAGATGATACTCTGGATACCTGAGTATCATCTATTGTAGATGAGAAGTAGTGAGAAGTAATTTCATTTATGACTAATGTGTTGAGTACACTGCACTTTTCTAGGGGGAGATTTGTGTGTTAAATATGCTCTCTCAAATAAAATTTTCAAGTACTTTTGGTAACTTTTATGGTGCATAAGCATCCACTTTACCTTTGAATGCATTTATTTTTGTACTGTTAAGCATGCTTATATAAATGTTGGAACCCTTGGAAAACTAGTTAATACAATTTTGCCTATCTTAGAAGTAGTAAGGTGACCTTATTAGGTTTTACTATTACTTCCTTGGCTTTATGCATTCCGAAACTGTTGTGACGTACAATGGAAGTGTAGTCCAGTACAGTTAAACTAAATTGTTCAGGCATTTGAGAAAACCGCCATCAATATCGGGAGAGCCTGAAATTACTTGAGGTCACAACCTTTGAGTTGTACCAGTTTTAAGAATTTGGCAGGTTCATATATTTGAGGTCAACATGTTTAAAGTTCTGTTTCTTGGATAGTTAATGTGAGATGACTTTAAATTCTAGACTTCTCTTTTTCTATATCATGATTTAGTGAAGAATTGACTTCATGGAATATTGTATTTGTAGAAATGTTAATTTCATTTATGTTACGGCAAAATAAGGGTAAGCATAATACACTTACACTTGGAATTTACTTTCATAGTGCTATATTATAGGCTAAAAAGTGGTATATTTTTCCACTTCATGTTTTTAACTTGCCTAGAGTTACGTGTCTGGCTTTTTTCTTTGTAATTCAGTGATTTTAGTGAAATGCTCCGGTGTTTGATTTAATGTTAATGCATTTTTGTGTACTGAAATAGTGAAAAGATATTTATGCTTATTTTGTGCATGTTGTGTAAACTGTAACTTGGTGTCCCCAGTTGAAGTTCCTTTTTTTTGTAGTTAGAGGTACGTTATGTTGAAATCTCACAAAGCATCTTGTTTTTGTGCATCCACACATGCCAATAAGTGAATCATGGTGCCTTTCCCAAGCCTTGTATGAACAGGACTGGGGTAAGGGCTCTTTTTTCTTACATCACACATTGGGTGCTTGAACTGGGCTCTAAAAAGTAAATTCTGTGCTTCTCAGGCACTTTTAATTGAAGTAACTGCCACTGATTTTTTTTTTTAATGCTCTGCAATGTACATAGATTATTTGCATTTTACTTCAACAAAGCTATTTATAGTATTTGTACATTTACTGGTAAACTGAAGTATGTTTCTCCTGAGACTACTCGGCATAAGTCCTTTCTGACTTCTCAGGATGCCAATTATTGACTTCTTTATATTCTGTACAATAAAGAAAAAAAAAAGTCTTTAGAAAGCAAATTCGTTTTGCTTTACTTTGCCATTCTTTGTAGGCGGCATTTCTTTTGCAAGCCTAATAAACGTATGCTTTGCACCTTTCTACAGAGAAACAAAAAGCTTGGACTGTGCATTTGAAATCCTGCCTAGATGCACAAATCGACTGTAGGAAATTAATTCAACCTTTGTTTCTCAAACTTTTGACAAGGTGCCTGCTCTCAGCCTTCAGTACGAAAACATGTAAATCCCTCCTCTGCCATCCTGTTTAGTGCTTTCTTCACAATTTTCAGCAGTAGATGGCACTATAGTTGAAAATAACACGTCTGCAGCACCGGGAGAGTAAGCAAGAAGGCTTTGCGGTATGGACTGGTGTTAACACTGGGTAGGAGAGGCAAGGCAAAGGGAACCGAGACTGGTGCTTTGGAGTACCGTATGTAAAGCAGTCAACTCACTAGCACGTGTTTTGTAAAATTCAGTTTTGCAACCTTGCACCTTTTAAACTCTGTTCAGGCTCTTTTTGTCTAATTTATATACTGCACAGGAAGGTTTCCGGTTTGTCTGGCTTGGTCACATGAATAGCATTTTGCAAGACTCACCTGAGACTGTTGGTGTGCTTTACTGTTTCTGATTTGCCACTGTGCCTTTGTGAGACTTCACTTAACCAGTACCTTGGTTAAAAGATCTTCCCTCGACAGTAGCTCTGCTGGTTGGGGAAGAACACAGGCAGTGCCTTTACTCTTTGCATTCTGAATAGGTGTATTTGGATAAAACCATGGACTTTTATTCCAGGCTTTTATCCACAGTAGAATTAAAATCTCCCATAGATTTAAAATAATAATAACAACAATTAAAAATAATAATAATAATGTTCTGTCTACTTCATGATAGTTTAGCCCTCTGCTGGTTTGAAACTCAGTTGTGTCATGCTACACTAAAATTAACTAATTTAAATAAAAATGTTCTGTTTTGCTTAAGTGCTAAAAGTGCCTGAGATGCATATAATTTAACTTTTAGAAAGCTATGTGTTTCTCTGAAGTGTTGCTTCTTTGTGCTTCCATACACCCTTGGCGTTTTATCCATCAGCTTTTGTCTAGCTTTTGTATTAGCATCCTGCTTGCGATTATGGTGATGCAGCTGTCGTACTGCATGTTGCTCAGATATTACGTATCAGTAGTCATTCCTAGTGTGAACCTGGATCTTCTCTTTGGGGGATTTGTGGGCTGTGGCAAATGCATTCTCTTTCCTTTTGCAGAAATAACAGGTTTCTCAAATGCAAATAAAGTATATGTTGCTCAGAACAAGAATCAGAAAATGTGTATGGAAAAGTGAAATAACCTAATCTTTTACTTGCAGGCTTTATTTTCAAGCTGTACTTTGTAAAGGTCTGTAGGTTTTGGTTTTTTTAAAAAGCCATTTATGATCTGTAATACTGAAGGACTTGGCCAATTTTATGGCTGTGCGTGCTTTTGTTAGGGCTGAGAGAAGCATCAGGGAAGTCGGTGCCATTCTCCAAACAACTTGCGCAGGCTGTGTTCATAACCAGGTTGCGCCCAGGGTGGCGAGGGAGGAGGACTTAAGTCCTGCGGGTCCCAGATGGCAAATGCCTTGATGGGGACTGTGAAGAACTGTGCTTGGAAAGTAAGGAGCTGTAAGCCTCGTGCATGCTTGCATTATGGTTTAGACGGTTTTGCTGTTTGAAATAACCTCTAGCGCTCTTAATTTTTTGTAATGAGTTTTAGTATTTCGTATTTAAGTAGAACTGGGAGTGAAAAAGTGGATACAGTGATGTGCTTTGGTATTGCCAGGGTCAGTAACAACCCTGTTTTGCCCTAAAACATGATTGGTGCTGTAAGTAGTCAGAGAAAGGCTTCCTCAGAAAACAGAAGAAAATTCTGGAAAAGGTCAGAATTTGGGTGAATGTAATTTTATGGAATTAAGTTACTTGAAAACATATTTGCAGCATTGCCTCAAAAGTATTGATTGTGGTTAAAAGCTTCAGTTTTGAATGTTATCAGAAGATGTGAAATAGAAATTATTATTCACTTCTCAAACTCATGCCTGAATGTTATTAAATATATTTTCAAAAAAACAAGGATTACGAGAATTGCTGTGAATGCCTGCTAAGTAATGGTGAATCAAGGGAACTAGAAATTTGCGTGTCTATTATGATTTTCTTTTTGGGATAGAACTAAGTGGAAGAAAGCTTAGCATACTAAATAACACTTTAAAAATTATTTTGTTCTGTCTGCTCCCAGAATAGTATCCAAGTAGTCCAGGGTATAGTAGAATAATATACTTCTAGGTTTTTTGTGCTCTGATAAATTACAGTCTTGATACTGGCACTGTGATTTTGAATTTTACAGAGGTGTTTTGCCAAAGTTCTTTTATGCAAAGGATTAACCATATAGGAGACTGTTCTGAGATTGAATTTTCCTTTGATATGCAGCAGGGGTTTTCCACATTCATGATCTATCCAGCAAAAGAGATTTCCCTAACAGTGATCAAATTCTAGTCTTGTGTAATTCTAATACAGATTCTGCCATCAGTTTCAGTGAGGAACTCAGATAGTGGTATTGAATAATAATAATAATAGTAATAATGATGATAATAATAAACCAGCTCATAACACAGGAATTTATTTGCTTTCTTTTTATATCTAAATGATCATCTATGAAGTGAATAAAGTACGTTAGAATACTTCTCCTTAGCATGGGAAGAAGCTGTGGAATTATTGCTTTGGATTTGTAAGTTAAAACGTGTTTCAGCAGACTTGTGCATCTTCTGCAAATGTAAATAAATTTCATCACTGCAGCTTGAGTGTTCTTTTGAAACATCTTATAAATATTCAAGTTTTCTGGGAGCAAATCTTAATTTTTTTTCTTACATTTTATTTACGAAGTTTAGAAGCACAAGACAGTCTTCATAACACACAAGCATTTTTCTAGTGTCTCTGAATTGCATTGATAGTAGTTTACATTAAAAGTATATAGTGAAATAATGAAATTAGCGAAGCCTTCTGTATGGACTCCACCAAACCCACAGTTTAAAGAGAAGATTATGTAGGTTGTACAGTTTGAAATAAACAACTCTTAGGTAAATCAAGTACCCAGTATTATACTTCAGTGTTCTATTCAGGAAGACCTCTTTCATGATTCAGTAAAAACTGACTTGCATAGCAGTCATTCCTGGTTTATGCTTCTGTCCGCTTGTTTTAGCGGAAGAACAACTTGTGAATTGCCTTTTCTTCATGCAGCTTTTTTCCTCCTCTTCAAAGTTATTCAACACTTACAACCAGAAGAGAAGCCATAGTTTATTTATATGGTTTATGTATTTTATAATGATTTTAGGGGAAGAAATAGAAGCTGCAGAATGTATTGGAAGACATTCACAGCTATTTGTCAGTTCTCTTTCCTTTCTAGATAATAAACCTATGTGAATTCTTGAAGGATTCCTAAGTTCGTTCTTCTGTTACTTGTGTAATTTACAGTTAATGAGAACTCTGTTCTTCTATCAAGGGACATAGATATTTCTCCACTATCATACACTTTTTTTCTTTGCAGCTTTTGAAGAGCTTGAGAAGGCTCTGAGTATTGCCCAAAAGACAGAGGAAGCCCGGAAAAAATTGCAGGCAGAAATGGATGAAAAAATCAAAGCAGTAGAAAAGGCAAGTGAGGAAGAGAGGGTAAATCTTCAACGGGAGTTAACCAGAGTGAAACAAGAGGTGGTTGAGATTATGAAGGTAAAAGCTGAACTCACCCTGTATTATTGGCTTTTAATCTAATCATTCAATTACAATTAAACTATAGTTGTAAAATACATTAGTATACCAGAACTTTTTAATAAAATATTTGCTATTTCATAAATTCTATAAAAAATTAATTTCTGAGATTAAAGATTTACTTAAGACAAAATAGAAAACTTCCCATATAGATTTTTTCTCTAGCAGTTTAAAATCAGTACATTAGAGCCATGTAAAAATGAACAGTATTACTCTTTGTTTCACAGTATTTAATAAAATTATTTACTAGAAGTACACTTGAGATTTTAAAGGGAGTCAAGAAGAAAAAATTAATGGTGATCAGCTCACACATCTCCACCAGGATTTTGGGTTTTAATACTAAGTAGTTTTAATGATTATCCTAGCCCACTATGTGCAAACGTTTAAGAACTTGTTGCCAAACTGTTTGCTAGTTAAGAACTGCTAAATTCGCTTCATCTGGCGTATTCGGGTAGGAACTGCAGGAGTACTGCACGTGCCTTGCAAAGCTGTTAATTTGAACACCTTTAAATTGCAGTTCTTATGTTGACATTTGTTATGTTATTAATTTTTCTAAGAGAACACACTGATGCTTTAGGGGGTTGACTGACTTGCACTACATTATTCTTAAATAAAGCATGTATGTAGGTTGTAGATAGCTGTTTATATAGAATATCACCACTTGACTTTCTGGCTCATGAAATAACAAGAATACAGGGAAAGCTACAGACAGAAGTTCCTTTTCCAATTTATTACCACATTTGAACTGAAACTGAAAACACTATAAGTTCACCTTGGCAGAAGAGTCCTTAGAGAATGTGGTGTTTCTTTTAGTAGAACTGTGAAAGACTTGAGAAGGAAGATGGGTAACTTCACGCTTGAAAATAAGAACTGTCAGGGCTTAATATTAAGTGCTCCAAATGATTGTTACTTATTCAAAGGGAGTAAAGAGATGGTTCTGGTTTCCTCTCTGTGTTGCACTGTTTTTCTTATTAAGAAATAATACAAAGTGTTTTGTTGTTTAATATTTTGAAATTAGTTTTTTCTGACTTTGATTCACAGAAGTCTTCAGAGGAGCGTGTTGCTGAACTAGAAAAATTCCATAAAAAAGAAATGGCTACCAAAGATCAGGAGCTAAGTGATAGATTACAGGCCCAAGAAAAGGCATTCCAGGAGAAGATGAAGACAGCTCTTGTAAGTATCCCTAAAATGTGTAGAAAGAAATTTCTCTAAGTGTGAGGTGGGAATAGAAGTCTTAATCTGACCCTATTCCGCAGTGCGAGTCCTTCTGCACTCAAAGATATGAGTGTCCTCCAAAAGTCAAAGAGCTCAGAGACTTCAGCAACATGAAAGGAAAGCAGCTGCAGTGATCCAGATTGAATAATGATAATTAATCACTATCACTGCTCACTTACAGCTGCATCTTGTGGGAAAGACTTTTTTTTGAAAACTCTTTTTGTTAGACTTTTTTTTTTATTTCTTCCTCTGGATCATTGGCCATTAGCCACAGCAACTAGAGTAAAAGAGGTACAAAGAATGAGGCTGTTATTTGAAAAGTGTTGGTATCATTATGTCTGGTTGCGTTGTGTTATGTGAACAGGCTTAACTATTCATAGTGTTTGACCTCAGAAAAGAATTTTTTTCTAGGTCAGGCTGGGAGGAATCACTGGGGTTCTTTGCTCTTTTTCATAAGCTGTAATACACTTCAGATCATCACGTAATTTTACCTAACAAGTAGTAGATTCTCTTTTATGCTCCTCCGTGATGGTTGGTGACTAGGACTGAGGGACTTTGACAGTCCCTTCCTGACTATATTTTTCTACCTGCTTCTCAGGTTATTTTTTTAATTATAAGGAATAGAAGCTTAAAAATACATTAGCAGTGGAATCGAGTGAGGACAGACCTTTATTCCTCTAAGGTGTTACTCAATTAATCGTGGTAAACAAACCAAAATGAAAGGCTGGATTGCATTATGTTTTTCATATAAAAAGAAGTAGAGGACATATGGTTCTCAAGAAGAGAAAATAGAAGTGATTTATAACAATTTTGTTTTCACAGATTAAATACAAACTGTGTGTGTGTGGAGAAAATACATATGATTAGTCTATGACTCCTATTAACTGGTTTGTAAATATCTTATTATACTGTTTTTGAAGGTGTGATGACTAAATTTATAGTTTATTGTTTTAATCATAATTTTTGATACAGGAAAAAAATCAGAGTGAGTGTTTAAAAACCCTTCAAGAACAAGAACAGCAAGAATCCCTAGCCTTAGAAGAATTAGAGCTGCAGAAGAAAGCGATACAGTCAGAGTGTGACAAGAAAGTTCAGAAGATGCATCAAGAAGTAGAGACTTTTAGAACTGTGAGTAAAGATTCCAAAAGGGTAAATGTTTACAAGAATTCCTTTTAGTATATATTTAACTATGACAGGTTTACAAATACTGTGGATTTATTGTGACTGGGTTATTTTAATCTCACTATGCTTCTTGTAGTAACAGAAATTTAAGGTATTGCTATGGTATGCTGCAGCCCCTAGTTGTTTACGAGATTAGATGGCAAAATATAGAAATACGTTCACTTTATATCACGGCGTGGGATATGAATTCATATCCATCTACATAATTTTTATGTATGTTATACAGGAGAGTTAAACTTTAAACTGTTTAACTTCTGGGTACTGCTACCATACAAACACTTAAAAGGATACTTGAGTAAGTAAAAAATTTGCTTAAATTTTGAAGTGTCCTTTGCTTTATGTAATGGGTAAGACTGTATTATCTGCTAACGCAAGTTTGTATATTATTCCACCACTTATTAGTTTGGAAGTTTTGCCTATAGAAGTGTTTTAACTTTACAGCAGCATTTCCTTGAGAGGTGGAATTAAGATAAATCGGTAGATATGTACAAATCCATAATACTCGTGTAGACTCCCGATATTGTTCATCCTATGTATTGGTACTTTAGCTTAATGAGAAAATGTGAACATCTCTCTCATAAATATCATGTGAATTATTTTATTTGAATTAGTTAAATTCTTTCCAAGTTTTTATTGTATTTGTTTTCACTGCAGTGAAATAGAAAAATTTTTATTAAATAACTAACTTACCATAACGGAAGCAAAGTTGAGAACAAATGAGATGTATGAAAGGCTTATACAAAAAGTTGATATTCACTAAAAGTAATGGAATAAATGACTTGTAATTCTGTGAACCTGGTGAGATGTTTTTAAAATTTAATCAACTTGTTACCTTTTGAATATTCATATTCTTTTAAAACTGTATTCTCTAACAGAGGATTCTTGAACTGGAAAGCTCTCTGGCAAAGTATTCGCAAGATGACAGAAAGCAATCAGAGGAATTAAGTACTCTGATGGAGTCTGAAAAAAAGCAGCACAATAAGGAAATCAATGATATAGTTGAAAAACACAAGAAAGAATTGGAGAACATGAAACAGCAGCAGGAAAAGCTTTGGACAGAAAAACTTCAAATCTTAAAGCAACAACAAGTAACTGAAATAGAAAAAATGAGAGAGAAACAAGAACGAGAGATAGATACGATTTTGAAAGAGAAAGAAACAGTTTTCCGTGCACACATAGAGGAGATGAATGAAAAAACATTAGAAAAACTTGATGTGAAACAAACAGAATTAGAAGCACTGTCTTCTGAGCTATCAGAAGCACTAAAAATACGTCACGATTTAGAACAAGAGCTCTCAGAATTGAATAGTAGAGTGTGTGAAGCAAAGCAAGAATTGGAAGGAAAGTTGGAAGAAGAGAGGAAACGGCACAACGAAGAGGTTGAAATGATGTTAAAAGAGCACGAAATGTCTATTCAAGGTGTTGAGAAGGTACTCAAAGAGGAACTCAACAAACTCAAGCAATCCTTGGAGGAGAAAGACAGACATCTGGAGGAACTAAAAGCACATGAACAGAAACTAAAGGAATCTGCAGAAAGATCTGAAGCTGAACTTGTCCAGGTATCTGCAAAGCTAGAGAAGCTTTCAGAGTCTCATCGGAGTACTTCTAATGAGCAGGCAAAGATTTATGAAGAGGAGTTAGCAAAGCGGCAGCAAAAGCTGACAAATCTTGAAGATCAAAAATTGCAACTTAATGAGCAGCTAGACAGAACTGAATCCCAGCTGAGTGAAGTCAAGAATGAGTTAGAGGCATACATCTCTCAGGTACATGACCTGAAGCAGCGTTTGCAAGAGCAAAGCAATGAAAATAGACAAAAAGTAACCTCTCTAACACAATATGAAAGTCAACTGAAGGATCTACAAAGAGAGGCTGAAGAGACAAAGAGGAGTCTAACTGAGAAGGAAAATGAAATTGAACACATGAAGGAGTTACAGAACAAGCAAGTGGAAGAGCTTAAACAGAAACTGTTCGCCGCAGAGGAGAGAATCAGTGCTCTACAAGGAGAATATGAAAGTAAACTGAAACGTCAGGAGAACAAAATGGAGAAAATTAAACAGAAATCAAAAGATATGCAAGAAACTTTCAAAAAGAAACTTGCTGAGCAGGAAGCTAAACTAAAAAAAGAGCTTGAAAACAAGCAGTTGGAGTTCAGTCAGAAAGAGAGCGAATTCAGTGCTAAAATGTTGGAAATGGCACATGCCAGCTCAGCCGGAATCAATGATGCCGTGTCAAAACTGGAATCTAATCAGAAAGAGCAACTAGAAAGTCTTGCTCAGGCTCATAGGAGGGAGTTGGAAGAAATTACCCAGAGTTGGGAAAAAAAACTCAATCAGCAGGTTGAAGAGCTCCAGGAAAAACATGAAATGGAACTGCAAGAGAAAGAGCAGGAAGTTGGAGACCTGAAACAGAAACTTGCCACCTTTAGTGCTGAGAAGGAGGGCTCCAGAACAGAAATAACCCGACTAAAGGAAGAACAGGTGAAAAGGGAGGAGTCCCTGAAGGAATTGCAAGAACAACTAAGGCAGTCAGTGGCTAAGGTGAATGCTTTGTCAGATAAGGAAAGTGACCTGAAAACACAGTTGAAAAAATTGGAAAGTGATCTTAATCAGTCCCTGAAAGAGCAGTCAGGACTTCAGGAACAGCTCAGTAAACAGAAAGCAGTTGAAGAAAAGGACAAAGCCAAAATTACCGAGCTGGCTGATACACTGAAAACAGTTGAAGAGAAACTCCAAACTGTGCAGTCTTCTCAGTATAAAGATCATGAAAATTATGAGAAAAAAATAGAGGCAATTCAGCTAAAAGAAACTGAGTTTAAAAGGTGGTCAGGAGAACTTGCAGCCCAGTTAGATGCTTACTGGAAGAATGCTGAAGCTTTATTGCAAACAAAAAGCAATGAATTAATTGAAAAATGTAATGAAAAAATTGGCATAGTAACATGCAAAATTGCAGATTGTGAGCGCCGAACTGCAAAAGTTAAAGAAGCAATATTAATTAAAACAAGTAAGATTCCTGAACTAGAAGCTCAACTTAGAGAAGTAACAGAGCATCATTCTGCTGCAAGTACTTCTTTGCAAAAGTCAATGCAACAACTGCAAGAGAAGGATAATTTAATTGTGTCCATGAGAGCTGACATTGAAGGACTTGTAACAGAAAAGGAACAATTGCAGAAAGAGGGAGGGCATCAGCAGCAAGCAGCATCAGAAAAAGAAACTTGCATTACGCAGCTGAGGAAAGAGTTATCTGAAAATATCAATGCTGTCACCTCGATGAGGGAGGAACTCCAGGAAAAAGAATCCGAGATCTCTGCTCTCAACAAAACAATTAATGACCTTAATGTTAGACTTGAAAGCACAGTAAGTTTAACAGAGAAGGAAGCAGCCATGTCTCTGTTAAGCAAGCAACATCAAGAGGATCGGTTGCAGTTGTTAGACCAGGTACAGGAGTTATCGTCCAGAGTTGAGACGCTGAGTCAAGAAAAAGCATCAGCTCTTGAGCAGGTAGATCATTGCACAGCCAAGCTGTCAGAGTGGAAGATGAAAGCGCAAACCAGGATTACACAAAATCATGATACTATTAAAGATTTGCAGAGCAAACTTGAATTAAGCAATACTGAAGCCAATAAAAAGGATGAAGAGCTAAATAAACTGAAGGAGCAGCTGGCTAAAGAAAGCAAGAATCTTGATAGTTTAAAAAGTGAATTGGAACAAAAGCAAAACAGGAGGGAAAAGCAAGAAAGTGAGTTAACTGCAAAGTTAAAAAACCAAGCAGCAAGAATTGCTGAACTAGAAGAACACATTGCTCAGAAAACTTCAGAAAATTATTCCTTGATGGAGGAACTTAAAAAGCATAATGAACAAAAAGACACAGAGCAAAAAGAGATAGCTTGGCAACTCCAGCAGGCAGAGAAGGTGGCTTTTGAGAAGGACAATAGATTTAAGGAGGCTGAAGAAAAAGTGCTTAATCTTGAGAAGCAAATAGGTTCACTGACAGCTGAATTTGAAGCAAAGGAGAGGGAATTTGATCAAATGAAGTCAGCGATACTTAAAAGCAAAGAGGAAGAACTGAAAGAATTAGAAGAGAGACTGAATGCAGAGAACAGCACTAAGCTGGCAGATCTGAAAAAGAAGGCAGAGCAAAAAATTGGTTCTATTAAAAAGCAATTGACGTCTCAGATGGAAGAAAAGGAACAGCAATTTAAGCAAGATAGAGAAAATCAGTTAAGAAACTTGGAACAAAAAGTGCAGGAGAGAGAGGCCAAAATTGAATCCTTGGAAGAAAAAATTAAGTCAACAAGAGATTCCACAGAGTTAGAGAAAGAAATGCTGCAAAAAGTAGAGAGTGTAAAAGCTGCTGTAGAACAAGAGAAAAATAACATGCTTGAAAGTGTCCAACAGACATACGAAGAGAAAATGCACGTGTTACAGAAGGGCTTAACTGAAAAAGATGATTTGTTGCAGAAGTACGAAAAGGAACAACGAGAGAGTAATGACTCTCGTCTAGAACTGCAAAACAAACAGGAAGAACTCCTTAAAAGACTAGAAAGTGTTGAGAAGAGCCATCAGGAGGAGCAGAGTAGGACTGAAAGCCTCAGGAAAGAACTTGAGGAGCAAACCAAAAAATACTCATTGTTAGCGGATGAGCATGCTCGTTGTGGTGGCGATTTAGCAAGCAGTAGGGAAGAATTAAAAGCTAAAGAACAGAAACATCTTGATATGGAGAATGTAATTGGAGATTTCCAGAAAAAATTGCAGGAAAAGGAGGCAGTCAGTCAATCTTTAGAACAGAAGGTAAGAGAGTTGGAAAATAATCTAGTGAAGGAAAACGACGTGCATAAGATTGAGATGGAAGATATGAGTTTGAGATATGAAGAAAAGCTAAAAAGTTTACAGCAACAGTTGGATGAAAGAAATGGCAGTCTGAAAGCTTTTGAGGAAAATGCTGAAGAAAAGGCTAAATCTGGTTTGGAGCTGCAGAAGTTACTAGGTGATATGCAGAACCAGCAGAAGGACTTGCAGACTAAACTGGAAGAGACTGAAAGGGAGAAACAGAAACTATGCAAAGAAGTGAATAATCTTCAAAAAGACTTACGCACTCTGCGAAAAGAACA